TTATCAAAATTAATTTAATCCAAACAAATTTAATAGTATTAGTTCTATAGATTTTGAAATTTATAATACTGTACTCTAAATCATAATTGTTTTATAAAATAGAAAAAAGGAATCAGCCAGGCTCCTACTGGTAAATAAATTAGTACTGGTTTTGGTTTTGTGTTCGATGAACATCAAGTCATTTGCTTAAGTGAATCACGAATCAGGAAGGATTCCTATATCGGTTTGTCTCACAATAGGTTGATAGTCACAATCAACTTTATGTTAATTCTTGTGCTGCCCGTTAGTGAATAGGTTAGTTATTTATAACTTACCCTGATAACACTTAAATAATTTCCCTATATTAATCTTGCATGTATTTTTAATTTTAATCAATGTCAACAGTTGTACCACATCTCAGAAGCCCGGCCTAGACTATCAGAGTCAGACGTCGTAGCAGCTGGCTACACTGCTAGTGTTGTCAATTGCATTGTTGCGCTCATGTTGGTACAACTGATAACAACTGTTTCCTGGAGAGTTTTGCTCATAACCAGCTGTGTCGGCTCTTCAGTCCTGCTATTTGTCATGGCTGCTTTTGCTTTACTGGAGGTTAGATTTTAAATTTAGTAATAAATAGTGTATTTACAAGTTAGTAAATCATGAGGCAACTAAAATGTAAAAATGATTGAATTAAATTATTGTATACTGTTTTAACTAAATATTTATTTTATACCACAAAAGAAAACTAAAAACTGGAAAGCATGAAAAATCAAACAATTTTTACACAATAATTTTCAATACATATTTGCAAACTAGCATGGAAAGATTAAAATTTTAATATGAAATTGTTTATCAGCGACTTTTGTGTCATGTTTAGTCTTTGTACTCATATACAAATTACATTGAACAATGCAATCTTATAAGTTTATGACATCAACCTTTACTTCAAATAACAATCATAAGGTTGCCGGTTCAATCCTGAGAAGTCAGTAGCTTTCTGATGGTTCAAAACTTGACCCAGCTGTCCTTGATCATTGCATTTTCAATAAATGAATTTGACAGATGAAACAGCTGATATTATTCAGTAACAAAGCTACACAGATCATCTCACACCATCATACACTCATTCTTCACTCATATTTGTGTTAAAATACACACCTAGGTGGCGTCCTCATCTCAATAATGTTATGTTACAGGACACAAGTAACAAGACTGTTTACTTCATGTTGGCCACTCTACTCGTGCAGGTCATCGTCTTTGATCTCGGGTTAAGGGCAATCCCATGCTACTTGGCAACTGGTAATACTTTTGCAATTAAATTCATTATATTAAATTTTATAAATGGCTCTAAAATTGTTTGTTTTAATCATAACATTTTTTATAATGCAAAACAACTTCATTTTACCATACATAACATACTGTGCATGTATAACGTATATATCATAATTTTTAAAAACCAAATGATCAAGGTTTTTTCTTAGAGAGGTAGGTGGGGTTGTCAATGTTGTCATTTTAAAGATAGAATATATTAAATATTTGTTTGCTCAGTACTGGACAATAAATCCTTCTTTCTTAACACTATGTCTATTGTTTTCACATTTTCAATGGTGATGTCTACAAGACCAAAGGAGATGTTTAGTATTTTGCCCTGAAAACGGCTTCTGCCTTCTTTAACAACTATCACTGTAGTTTTATGTTTTTGAAATTCTTTCTTTATACAATATTGATAATCGGCTATTCAGAAATTTTGAGTTCTAGCATACCTCTAAAACAACATTATGGGTCCTACAAATTCAGGTATATATACAAATTTTAAAGATTATGTTCACAAATATATTTTCAATGTTTTGTTGTAGAATTGTTCGGTGCCAAGACCTCGACCATCATGATGAGTGTTGGAGGAGCTGTCAACTTCTTAGGACAACTCGTCTCAGACCAGATGTTTCTTCTCCTCGGAGTCGCATATTTCAGATTCATTGCAGCCCTGTTTTTGGCATCTTTCGCTGTGTTACTGTGAGTTTTGTTTTTCAAAATGCATACTAATAATTAAATAGTAGTATTTAGTGGATTAGCACTCATAATAATTATTTCTATGGGTTGAGGTTGAGTCAAGTCGCCTTTGGATCACTTAATTTGTTAATAATGATAGTATTGTTAGGCTAGGTGGGTAGGAAAATATAGATGTTTACCTTATTTGCTTTTGGGATAAAACGATGAGATAAAATTTTGATTTTATAGACTGATTTCTCTTCCGAAAGACTCAAGCTCTCATGACAAGCCAAAGGTCAACTCAAGTTTTAGCCATCTACCCAATCCTTAGTGACCATTACAGGTAATTTTATGTATTTGTCTGTATAATATAATTATTTTATTTCTTAAACTGGCTTCATATTATCTTAACTATGTTTTTTTACTTACCAAAGCCAAACTAACGTATTGTCTAAAAAAATTTTTTGTCCTAGGACGCTAGGCACGAGCCTGGGATTGTTTTTCACATTACTTCAGGCTAGACCTAATGTATTGTTTACATTAAAACCATAGAAAATGCTAGAATGTCTTTGACATATCCTCGTACAAACATTAAATATATTCTTAACTCTTTCAAAGTTTGGTTGGATGTGGTATTGGTTAGATGTGGTAAATTAGGTTGTGTGCAATTTTGCACATTGTGGCGATTTTGTTTTGAACAAGAAGCCTTTGAATTACCGTACGGTATTACTATTTCTTCTTCCTGTTAAGGATGATTTTGAACTCTTTTTATCCACGCCAGTGGCATTTAAGTTTTTTTTTTAGAAAACGGTCCAAACCCTTGTCTTGTTAATATTGTTGACCTCTTGTTAGGAACCATCATTTATTGACAGCCCAATGAAAAATGGCATGCGTGTCTGGAAACGATTCTAATTTATCTGAGGAAATCATAGTTCAGGGAATCTATCATTTCTTATTATTTTTATGTCCATTGAATTATTTAGCTTAAAATCATTTGCAATTTAGCCAGCTTCTGATTTCAATTATAAAATAGAGAATCCGAACAAAATTAATGCTATGGATTTAAAATACAAAAAAACACAGTTTTGTAGTTAAGTATAAGATCCTACTTATTATATGACAATAAAAATATACATAAAGAACTTTATAGTTATGTCTACTATAGAATATCATAAAGGTCTTGAAACATTTTGTAAATTTACATTCTTAAAGCCAATAATTGAATAAACTTTAGAACTTTGTATTTCAGGTCAGAAATCTCCTGGAGCCATCAAGTACGATGAAATGAGGCAAATCAGTGTACCAGAGACATTATATGACAAAAATACACCTAAACTATTTTTTATGACTTTCAAGTTTCAAGGTTTTATCTTTAAAATTCATTTTATGGACCTTTGATGCAGAAACTTTTAATCCCATGTCAACACAATGTAAGAAAGTTGTCCAGCGTCCTGTAATTGCAAAAAGGAGAGTGAATTCTAAAAATAATTTGTAAAGGCTTTAGAGTGACATCAAAAGGTAAATTAAGAATACAAGTTGAATTCAAACAGTTATATTTCAACAAGCATATTAAAAGGTATATAAAAGGCACAACGTACACTAGAATGTTAGTAGAAAACATAAAAAACATTAACATTATAATATAGGCCTATTTACTTAAAAATTCCTAAACAAGGTGATTTACCATTCTTATTGCTATAATTGATTTAAGCTCTTCCCCGTCCAAACACAATTTCTATAAACATCTATACTCAACAACTTATAACAACTTACACAAATTTGTCAGGAGGGTCTATATACCCTTTAACAGATCGACCAAGAGAGATTATATAAGTTATGATTAAATTGAATCAATACAGTAGATCAGAGTTAGGCTATGAAAATGTTAAGTTCCCGTTACTTGTACTAGAGAGCTAGTACACGAGGTCTGTTCAGAAAGTAACGAACGTTTCTGTCTGACGTCAAATCTTTCAGGTGCAAACATATACGCCTATTCATTGACTGTCCGGACATTAAGGGTGTATAATGCACGGAAAGAATATAAAAATGAAATTCTTGTCCATGAATGGTCAAAAGTCCAAAAATCTTCTTCTATCATTTAAACAGGAGGTTTTCCCTCAGCCGACCCTACAGACCACAACTGGCTCCGAGTGACTTTCACTCGGTTTGAGCATCAAAATGAAGACTTAGCAGCACAGCGCTTTGATTACGATAAGGACCTCTGATTGCGTGTCTAGTGTCTACCGGTGGCTGATTTTGTAGGTGGCAGAATTCAACGGGAAAAGAATTTCATCGCTCATCTATCGTTTTGACAAATTCGTTAATTTGTTCAAAAGATATGTGAAAGGAGTTTTTTGTTATTCCAAAACATTTGTTACTTACTGAACAGCCCTCTTTTCTACATTATACCTTTATAGCATGAAAGCACCACCATAATATCAGTCTATCAATTGATCTTACACCACATTCAGGGACGTTTTACATTAGGAAGACAATTCTCGTAATTGTGTCTAAATTATCAGATACATTTTGACTCTTTTGTGCGTACAATCCCTGTGCTATTTTCATCCTTATAGTAAAACTTCATATACATCTATAAACATCAACCAGTCACATCAGAAAATATAAATTGAAAGCAATCTTACTAATATTATAAATCTGAAAGTTTGTGAGTTTGTGTGTATGTTTGTGTGTATGTTTGTGTGTGTGTTTGTGTGTGTGTTGCTCAATCACGCATAAACTACTGGACGGATTGGGCTGGAATTTGGCATAATGATAGCTCACATTCCCGATTAACATTAAAGCATATTCTTATCTCAAAAACCCTTTCGGGCTCCGCCCCAGTGGCTCTGTAGTTCCCCATGTTAATCTTATGATTTTTCATATTTAAAAGGAATTAATGAATCTTAACAGCTGTTTCAATTAAACAAGTTGGTTCTGTTCTATGATATTCAATAGCATAAAAGTTAAAAGGATTACCAACAGGGTGCAGCACTATTAATTTTTTTTTTATATATGACAACAGCTAATTTCCAACCAAAAGGTGAGTGAGCGTAGCGAACAAACTTCAACCTGGAGGCGAGTTAGCGTAGCGAACGAGCTAACCTGAAGGCAAGTGAGCGCAGCGAACGAGCTCCAACCTAAAGGTGAGTGAGCGTAGCGAACGAACTTCAACCAGGACGTGAATGAGCCATGCGAATACTTATGAAGTTAAACGGGGCGAAGCCCGCGGGTACAGCTAGTTAATGTATAAATGTGGCTAAAGTAATGTTTCCAATTTAATTTAGTATTTTAAATCAATTTGACCGATTAAATTTATAAGAAATTTTATTTAAACATGATCAGTAATACAAGGCGTTCTTTTATGTACAAAGTGCTATGCCAAAATATTTGTGAAATTGTGATAAAGTTAACCAAATACAACAGTCTTTTGTCATTTTTCCGACAACTACATTTCAAACAGAAATTAAATCTTGCCTACTTAACGTTACATATTAAATTAAGCTACAACTAAATAGTTTTGCCATTAATTTATTGAAGGATTAGTTTTTATCTTATACTATTGTTCGCTCTGAATGGTTGTCTACAGTCAATGTATTGTCAGCAACCTTCACAAAATTTACAATCAAATGTTTTATCTGTAGGTTGTTTTAAGTTACCATTATCTGATTTGGAAGACTACAAATTCAATTTATTAAAAGCTTCAACTCTCTGTAATACCATAAAATATAATTATGAAACACAATAAAACAGTCCAACTATCAATGGTGGTGTTGAAGCCTCTAGAGTTTGATGCTTTTAGCGGTTTGACTATAATCTTCTCCCAGAGAATCGCCACATTACTGACATTAGCTCTTAAAGTTTCTTGATATTGATTCAAAATGTTGGCTTTGTAACGCATCAGCTGTTTTACCTCATTCTCAATTTTAGTGATTGTGACAGTAATCGCTAAAACCATTACTACCACATTACCTAATTGGTACTAACTATTACATTTAAAAACATCTATAATTATCTAGACTCATAACCCACATTTCACAACACACCACGACAGAATAAACCACACAACTAAAAAAGTTCATCTAAATCCAACAATCTTTTTCACTAGAATCATAGATAAAACTAGACATCTCATCCTTATGGATCAGCTGAAGATTATGTTATTGTTTGTTCCGTTTGGAGCACTGTAGAGCTCGTGTTTTGTTTAAAATTAGTTTCTTGTTATTTCAGTAATTTAAAACCTCGTTTAACCAAATAAAACGATCTACTCATAAACAATAACTCGTCCCCTAACCACACAGTAAAACACAAATCATGAACCATAAAATAATAGAAAAAAATTTAGTCAACGTGAACTATTCACAAAAAACGAGCTTCAAAATTTACAATGGGATGAGAAGTCTACTTGTGTTAGTCTATGCTACGATTTAACATCCTTACACGCTAAGGTAATATATGGTTTGATTCTGGAGTATTACAGTTACTTTCCAAGTCTTGAAAATTACAACCACATAGCTTTTAAAGTTTAAGATAAACATAAATCAGGCTATAACATGGTAACATGTGATGACGAAATAAAACTAAAACCCAACGTAAGCTACATGTATGTAAAAATTTGGCAAAAGCCAGACATAAATTGAGCCCTAAACATTCCTACAGTATAATAATAATAAAATAAATAAAATTGTAACAAAATATAAATAATTGTGGTTATATATTAATCTTTTCACTACATATAGATTCTAACTCCCCGATAGTTAGTACAAGCGTATATAAAAAGGCAGTACAATGTGTTGATGCCGAGGTTAACATAAGCAGTCTTAGTGATTAAGTAATTACGTTTTATATAACGCAGTGACGGATTTGATTCACATGATTACAATACAATTAAAACCTACAACAGTAGAGATAATGTGCGATAACCTGTGGAGTTATTAAATAAGGTAAAATCCACTTAAATATAGGCCTACTAAGTTTTCACTTAAGATATAAAATAGTTTTTAATTAAAATAAAATAAATATTTATATAATAAGCGTCACTGTTAAAGTGTTCAAAATATAAGGAGAGGTTGGCGTTTAAGCTGCCATGGATAAAGGAAATCAATTAAATTTAAAATTGTAGAGCAAGAAGGGAGGTAAGAAAATTTATCTTATCTATAAAAATCAAATTTAATAATTTTAGATCTCCATATAAGTTTAAAACTCCAATACATAATGAATCTTTGGCATTAATAGGATAAATATAGGTTATAGAATAGGAAGTAGGTTGGTTATACAATTTAAATATTAGATAAGTTGTAGCAATTTAAGGCAAAAATCGGACTTCGAGAATCAGCTTAACTTTTACAAGATGATATTTGGTGATTGGAAGATCTTTGGGAGATTTATTCAGGTTGAACAGGCTCGGACGGAATCTCAGGCATAGGAGCTGAAAAATTGTGAAAAACATTAAAAATTAAAATACTATACAGGGTGTCACCTAAGTACAAAAAAATTAAGAATATGTTTTATACTGATAAGTGATTAAGTGGTTATTAGTGAGTAGGCCTCGTTTTTTTATTATTTTAAATAATTTCTTGATACGGTTTATTAGATTTACGTAAAGGAAATAAAAGAAACCTACTGTGTTTGCAGAAGCCAACACAGTGCAAAAGACTGCAAACATAACTTTTTCTATTGAAAATTGACTTCTAAACTCTTCTCCTCTGTAATTGTAAAATTAAAAAATATTGTTAGTAAATAATTCAAAGGCAAAGTTTTATCTGATTCAAATAATTTGTTCAAAGCTTTTACGGATTAGGCTAAGGCATTCACAAGTTGACACTATCAGATCTTCATGCAAGAACATGTGACTCATAAGGGGTCGTTAACATACACAAACACACCAATGAACACATGTCAACTAAGAGTTGTGACACCCATTAGGCTAGTAACCAACTACAGTACTTGGCGAACTCAGATTAAATTGTACTTTCTTTAGCCATTCAAAGACAATGAAGAATACAAAGGTTTGGTGTAAATTAAGTATTTTGATTACATAGGAAGTTCTATGTATTAAATCATTTTTAGTTGTAACTTGTTAACAGTTAATTCCTTGAACTATTGCAAAAAAACTAAACGAAAACCATTTTAAATAAACACTAAGCAAAACTGTTAAATGAGTAAATTAATGAATAAATCAATGAGATCTCTAAATGAAAATTTGTTAAGTTGAAACTTGATCAACCACTGAATTAGCACCCTTTGTCCAACTAATCATCATGTTAATAATGTCAATTAAAAAGCAACTAAAAATACTTTTTTACGCCACACTACACTGTTTTAACGAGCTTCCCAACCAAGGATTTAGTCCAGAAAACAGCTGTTTGCCGCCAGCTTAATCAATAATCAATGGGGTTTAATGAGTTTTTACCGAACACCAACCAGCTCATTATATTTGGAAATGAGTGGTTAGAAACAAAAACATAACCTCACTTAAAATTGTTAGTCCTTTAATCGGTAGGAATATATGATGATTTGTACAGATTTTTTGTTGTTAAGATAACTTAAGAGAAGTATGGCGTAAAATATTGTACATCACTCGTCCAAAATGTGTTTACCGGACTCGTATGGTAATCCCGCACTCGACTTAGTCTCGCATGGGAACGACCACACTTGTCCGGTACACATCTATTTTCGGGACTAGTAACGTAATATACTATAACACAAACACACGTAATGACTACTGTCGAGGAAAAAATATGTGCACTTGAGTCCCGAAACACCATCTGTTAACATTCATTCCAGGTAAATGGAAATTCCCTTTTTGCTACGGCAGGAGGATTTTGTGATAACAATTTAAAAAATGTCTGCTAAACAAGAAAATTAATATAGGCTAAGTGAAAGTCCCAATAAGTACTGATTTTGTTGAACTCCACACATGAAGTTAAAACTTCAATTGTATACAAACGACTCTACCAATGATTTTTAAATTTTGCTATCTTTGCAAACGTTGTCATATATAATTTTTACATTCCTAGTTTTTATTTTATGCTTCTGTTAATTTTGCTAAAGTATGCTAAGACTATATTACACTAAAAATGTTTTTAAAAATATCAAGGTGCTTGTGAAAAAGGTGCACACAAGAAAAAACTTTGATAGGTATACAAGATTTATAATCCGTACAAAGATATGTTTTTTTGACCAATTTATATTTATTAATCAATTTCTTCCGTGACTGTCTGCCTGGTCTTTATACATTTTAAAATTGGGAGCGTGCGCGTCACTGTGATGTTGCAAATGTCTACCTGGCTACCACACAAAAACTTTAAAAAGCATTACTGACTGCAAATGTTACTGAACCTATCTTCATTTTGATTATTGCTTTAACACAATCATATAACTTCAGAGATGTAGTGCAAACTCAAGTGCACATATTTTTCCCTCAACAGCAGAAGTGCAATACCTTTCAAAGTGAGCAAAAACTGAAACTCCAACACCATACCACAAATAATGTGTTTGCACAAGGTTTAAAATTAACTATGGGCATGATGAATTAAAATAAAGTTGATCTTATTTCTAAAATATAATGGACTTCTATTCTAAGGTCCGTGCAACCCACTGAAAATAGGCTTGTTTGACTGCTGAATTAATACGATTGAGCTCAACTTTAAATCAAGAACAAAAGTAGTGAACAAATAGTTACTAGTATATGAAAACTTCAAAATCACAAATTTTTGGCCAGTTAGTATTTTTTGTATCGTTGCAAGGAGTGCCTTATGGAGCAGACCACCATAACACAAAAACTAATTTATGTTCTTCCTACTTTACCAACTGAAGTTTACCATGGATATGAGGCACACATTTTATGACTGAAACTAACACAAAGATAACCAAACAAATACTAAAATCTAAAGGATTGATTATTTAATTTACAATTTTTCTCTACACATAAACTATAACATCTTACGGGTGAAAAACAAACACACATAAAATGATATGATTTATTTCAATAAATAATGTATCTATAAATGTGCCCAAAAGCTCGCAAACACACCCACAACTTTCCTGAGTTTATTTGGAAATGTCCTTAAATCTTCTAAACTTCAGGGTCAGCTTGGGGAAGTTGTTCATAGGAAGAATTTCCTCGCCACCCTTGAGTAAAAACATCCCAGATAATATTCTACAAAATGTTAAATTAAACATACCAAAATCCCGAATATCAGGATTATCTGAAGAAATTTTACATGGGGGATTATTTTTGCGTTGGGTAATTATTTACCCATTGTAATTTTTTGTCAGCTATTAATCATTCATTGATAGCAAAATAAATGATAGTCTACCTAGTATTATTTTATCTTTTGAATAGGTTGAAAAATTTAAACCAATAATTCTTAATGTCATTAAATCGTTGAGCCCGATAGCTGTTGGGATAATATATAGGCCTGTATTGTACCTTATTGACAGAGTTCTAAATTTTATTTGTGAAAGTTTTTTTGAACATCTTCCAATTTATTTCATCTGGTGTGAAAGAACTCGTGTTTTTAAGACCTGGACTCAAAAGTCAGAAAAATGCTGCTAGGAATCATGTTTGGAATATAATATATAACCTACAACAATCGTTTAACGAACAATATATTAAAGTTACTTTTAGTGTAACCGAAATCAGTAACAATAATTATTCTTATGTTTTTTAGTAAAATTATAAGGTCCCAGACTTCCAAGGTCAAAGAAGAATTTTGACCTTGAACAATGACCAATGACTGTGTTGTTTTGTTAGATTGGCAAAAATACTTGCAGACTTAGATGAATCCAAAGATTAAATTGCTGCAATGCATCAGAAGCGTCAGCTACTATTTTTGCCAATTGATTGATGCAGTAATCTCTGAAGACCATGATTATATATTACATCTAATTAAAATTGTTTCCACATCCCCAAGGTTAATTCTGCAACTACAACTATTTAAAAAACAGATTAGCAATGGTTTATTTTTGCTTTTAAAAGTTCAACTTACATTCATGCATTCCTACCATATGGTAAGAAAACAAACAAAACAAGTAGCCTAGGCTACACTTGTTGAGCTACATTTAGGCGGCACAAATGAAAAAAACCTATTTTTTAAGTTCATTAGAACGTGTACACAAAGGGCAGAGTTATTTTTGGCCTAAGTTCTAAAATTAAAGACAGTTTAAGGTTAGATTAAAGCTATCATAAAGTAATAAATTAAAAACTTACGCAATGTAGGATACATGTTTCCCTCGGTGGGTCCTGGGTTGGCGATAAATCCAACGGGGGCCCCAGGCGGGGGAGCGGAGGGGATGGTGTCTGGAGCACCTGGTGGTGGGGCCATGGGGGCTTGGTATACCGGCACTGTACCCAGGAATATTGGCACCTCACCATACAAGTTACTATGGCAACCGCTGACTTCTGCTGTCACCTGAAATATTACATAACCTAGAATAATTTTGTTTAAGGAAAGGCTTTAGGCTAGGATTTTAAATTGTAGAAAAAGGAGGATAGCAGCTAGCTTACCTTGAAAGTGTGGGTAGGCCATAGAACAAGTAGAAAAACATTTTGCACACAATATTTCTATGGCCTACCCACACTTTCAAGGTAAGCTAGCTGCTATCCTCCTTTTTCTACAATTTAATAACCTAGAATAAGTTAAATATAGGGATTGTTCAGGTTTCATCTGATGCAACACCAAATACGCAAAAGGATTATAAGAGTCTAAACACTTTCTGAATCCATTGTTTTCTGAAATAAAACACTATGCAACCCTTATGGTAAAGAGTTTGTTGTGAATTGTTATATACCATGGAATGAAAATTTGGGTGTACTTCACAGCTGGTGAGTCAAAATAAGTTTAAGCCTTCAATTATAGAATCAAAACACTATAGTGATTTACCTACCTTAATCAGGTTACAATCATCAGAAAAAGTAGCTTAGGCAGTTTTAAACCCAATTTCATGAACTGTTTTGTCTATTATTTACTAGAAGACTGTAATTAAACCTTCACCTAAAGAGGGTAAACTGTTATTAAATTACAATTAACATTTAAAACTGAACTCGCTAGAGGGGCGAAGTACTTAGTGAAATCACCTTTTTAGTTACCAGTCATCACTCCACTGGATCATCAGCTCTAAACGAATTGTGGATATTTATAGGGATGCACTGTGGATGCGATGCTCCCTGGTGTGGATTAACGTCCGCACTAGTGAGTACTACGACTATCCGCAGTACTATTCTGATAATTAGACCAATTCGTAAATTACAAGGAAAAAATGTGGTTCGGATTCCACTATAAACTGTAGGTCCCTTAGTTGTCATTAGCTGTATGGGCTATTAATTAACAGCTGTGTCTAAGGAACATGTCGGCCTTAGTCACTAACAAGACTACAAGATCGTGCCACTCATCCTACACTCATCCTTCACTCATATTTGGGTTAAAATACGCACATAGTGGCGTCCCCATCTTAAATAATTGATAATTGATAATTGATAAAATGAACACCTAAATCGTAAAAGTCGGTTAATTAGGACGGGCGAAATAGGATGTTACGGAGAAAACCCTTATTGCAGCATAGATTTTGTGTAAACTAAACGATGCATCAGAAGACGTGCTCAGCATACTGGTTTAAACATACCTGGAGTGAGTAGCCGCAGTTGATGATAGAGCACTGGTCCAGATTACAAGGTGGCATCATCGGCACAGCTATCTGATGCGTGTAAGACTTGGAGCCGTTAGCCTCTATAGCGTCCAGTGTCAACTTGACAATCTCCACCTTGTCCTCGCGCTCCTTGTTCTTCGGCTCTCGAGCTTTCCATTTGAGCACCTACAGAGGCGTCAATTTACAAATTCATTATGGATGACAAATTGAAATGTCACTTAGACAAATGTAAAAGGTGTCAAGTAATGACAATATGATTGTATTTTACGTCATCAAGTAATCTGAATTGTAGAGATCAGTTGGTTGACCTACATATGTTTGGCCGTTAAGTAACTTATTAATAACTTTATTTAATTATTAAAGAGAGGTTGGCCGCCTCTTTTAACCTTGCATTTATCCTGCCACATAGGCTAAATTGGCATTGCGCGAAACTTATCTAGCAAAGCAAGTGGTGAACTGGTACACTGCAACGGTGTACTAATTAGAATGGGCCAGATATCAGGATCCGAAATCCTCTACAACGATGACTGCCCAACCAACTCTCCATTAAAAGTTCAACGCTTTGGGCACAATAACTGGTTTTGTCTTAGGTACAAATGAAACACATAGCTAAACCCTCATAGAGTTAAAATTTAATCAGTGGTATGTGGGGTAAAGAATCCTTAAATACTTGATTGTCGATCACAGATTGTCTTCAGTTTAAACTTTTTTTAAAGGTTCTTTATCAGGATCAGGGATGTAGCAGTATACAATATAAAAAGAAAGATTTTAAGGGGTCATGGTCATAATTACACCTATTTACAACGTAAATTGAGTTATTCTTTAAATAGTTTGGGCAACGTTTTACCTAGTGGGGTGGTATAATTAGAACCCATTTTATACATCCTGGAGTCCTTTTGACAGATTAGGCTTCCTTACTTTAATCTGTGGTTCAAATTTCATTCACCGAATGCTGCATGTCTAGTTTCATTGCAAGCGTAGCATTGTTAAAGCTTACAACGCATCAAAATATATAAAAAATATGAGACCAGCACAAAACAAAGGTAGAGCTAAGTGCTATTATAACGATTGCTGTTATAGAGTTTATTGCAGCTGCTGCTTAGAATGTTGCATTACATGCCTAATCAGCATTTTGTTTGTACACATAAATGTAATAGAGGGAGTTAAGGAAGCATATTTGTCACTAATATTCCTAGTTTTACATAATTAGGGTTTAATGAGCCCCCTCTCTTGAGCTGAAAGATATGAAGTTATAGGGAGCTTTGAATTTAAAATAACCCCTTAAAAACTCCTCACCTTCTCCAATCGAATGATCACGCTGTCCACCCGCACATTGCTGGCGTTATCCACCTCCAGGGTGACCGGGATGTTCTGTCCCGGAACATACCCGGAGAACGGGAGGTTGATGACCATAGTTAGAGGTCCGGACTTGCACCAACAGCAGCAAAAGTACTTCTCAATCTCCAACTTTACTGGTTCCTAAAGAAAACAATATCTGTTAGTAAAACCTGTAAAACTTTAGGCCTAATACTGTATTCTGAAATGGCCACCATACGAATTTAGGTATTTTTAGACCAAGTTGCTTAAGCAACCCAAATATGAGTGAATGATGAGTGTAGAATATTCTGAGATGATCTGTGTAGCTCTGTTAGATCTTCGGCCACCACCAATAAACATTAAGTTAGAGGGCGATTTTAAAAGATAAATAGATGCTTGTGATACTAGGGCATATTATAGGCCATCAAAATAGCAAACTTGTACAACTGCCATAAAAAATACTGTGGGAATGCAACTATTGGTAACTGTTGGTAACTTAAATAGGCCTATGAGGGACGAATAAGAAGTAGGTATCCTCGTAATCGGAGCTACATTCTTATTCTCACAATACAGAACATTTTACTAGACTGTACCACATTAAACTACAGACTACCTACCAATAAAGAAATTAGGCAAACATACTATTATTTAGGTTTTGCTAACGTATCATGACATTTTGTACACACCTTTGCCTTCAGATTGTAGTTCAGGTCAACCGGAGTGACTACTGTAAATACTTTCTCCACGTGTTGGTCGAATTTCCACGGTCGATCGAGGGTAGCCGTCACAGTATACCGAATGTTTCCATGCTCTCCCTCGAAAGACGAAGGGAGCATTGGCGGAAGAGTTGTACTGAAGGGATACACATGATCTCCAGGAGGAATCTCTATCTCACCTAAAGACCAATTAGAGTGTGAAGGACCGATTTCTAATAAGAATAGGAATAATTGAAAATATGTTGTACATTTTTCTCTATTCACTTGTTCTACATTTTTTGCAGTGTGTGGAGGACATTTATTCTCATGAACAAGTCGTACCGGTACTTTACCATTTTGTTATCCAGTCTATTCTTGCGGTTTAAACCGCAAAAAGCTTACCATAGCTCAAGAAATTTGAGTCAAATAATTAACACAAATAAATTTAGTGCCATGGTATTAACACCTAACAATAGCAGTAAAATCAGTAACATATAATTATGGTACTTCAAATTAATGGCATAACGAAACTCTCCCTATTTTAATGTGATGTGGAAAGTAAAATAAAAAGTAGGCATAAATAAAAATATGTATTAGCCTACAACACTTAAAACATAATCAATTACACTTATAAACCTACTGTTAACTCACAAAACAGTAAATATCAAAGAAGGTTTCAAGTGGTATTGTTTATATATATTTACCGCCTTGTGAGTAAATATGATTTGGGTTATTAGATGTATTTTTATTTGCTTTCCGTGAATCTAATAGCACATAGCATACAATGCTGATTAGGTCTGAGAAATAACTTAATGTGATGCACAATTTAATGGAGAAAAATAGGGTTTCCCCAGAAAAGGTTTGACAAGTTCAGGATATTTACAGTAAAAACAAGTTTGATTGGGCATAAAGAGGAGTGAACGACAATGCATTTTTGTTCATTTTCTAAGTTTTGTTAGCCTAGGCCTATATTGAATTTTAGCCTACTGATCGCATTTATTTACTGAATGAAGCGAGAAGACATCTGTACCAGCCTGACGATGACACTTATGTGAGTCAAAACCGCTGACAATTTAGCAACACATCGCATAAATACAGCTATTTACACCAATTCTAAGTTTTACATAATTCGCTCCTTCATTCTAGGCTACACAATTTAATCATGGATACATCCAGTAACTTACTTAAGTTAATTGTTATGTGATATTAAAAACAACATTAACTTTGAAGTTAGAACATACAATTAAATTAATAAGTTATTGGATACTAAAACTGCTGGTAAGAGTAATTGTTATAAGCCAGCAATAAAAATGTTACACATACTGTTTGGGCCTCCAGCAAGATTATATTTGTTGGAGAAATATTCCTCAGTTGCAGTGAAGGTGACTATTTCATTCCCCGTGTTGCCATCATTATTTCTGACGCTTTCAGTCTCACTCCACGATGTTTTCGCAACTCCCACGAACTGTATTACAATTGCTGCAAAAAAGAAATGACAAATTTGCCAAAGTAATTTAAACCAGGCTTAATTAATGCGCAAGTTAGGACTAAGATTTACAGTTTGTTTTTTACTATTATTTTTTTGACCCCATAAGTTATACATGGAACCTTCCAGGTTTTATGTGGGTACATGCATTATTCCAAAATCAAATTAAGTTACATTAATTGATCAGGGTGTCCACAGAAAATTTGTCATTAATTTCCATGACTTACCATGACTATCCATGACCATTTACCATTGATTTCCATGACTCACAAACTTTACTAGAAAATTATAATATAACATACACACACGAATGATATTGCCTAGACAAGTTATTTCTCAGAAAATACTGAAACATGTATTAACAGAAAACAATGGAGTATAATAGGTAAAACAATGAACTATTACAGACTCAAAACTCACAACTGTAATAGGCCTAAATTGAATTGTCAAACATTTGTGAAACATCCTGAAAAATGCTACAATAACTTAGTCCGACTAGAGCATTGAATGGTCCCTTAAAATCCATTCATCATTGGGGATTTTCATGACTTTCCATTATTTTTTGTCTATTTCCATGACTTTCAATGACCAGAATTTTTCCATGACTATCCCTGACATTCCAGAATGTGGACACCCTGACTGATGTATGTAGACGTTGCTTGCGCTAGCCTAAGTAGGACCTAAAACATTTGGTTTGGACCTGTCACTAGGTCTAACAAAAAGCGTAAAAAAAGCCAGTGATGTAACTTAAAAGTTGTGTGGAGGCACAATACAATATGAAAAACACTGGCTTTTATAAATCATAATTTAAAATAACCAAATGATTTGGAACCATTGTCTTCAGTGTTAGGCCTATGGTTAGGTTACCTTGGTGAGTAGGTAAAGATTTAGGATCTTAAGATCAGGTTAGAGTCAAAAATGTTCCTGTTTTAACTTGATGACTCAAGGTTGATGGGAGACGCCCATTTAGCAGCAAAAGTTACTAACTTTTAACTAACCTCTTATTTTCTTCGGTTTGTCTAGCTTAAATTGAAGCCTTCCAGTGACATTTGTACCAGCATAGTAAGCTCCAGTTGGGCTGTCAAGAATTATTTGAAAGTTCGTAAGGCCCATGATTCAAATTATAGTCTTATCCAACTTGATTGAAATGCAGGCAACAACTAAACAAATGCCAGACTTATTTCTAACTGTTAATAATTATCCGGTTACTCATTGAACTTAGTCTAGTAATCAAACAAATGCTGCGAATGCTTTTTTCGATCTATGCTCTTCTTCTATGATGGAATTTCAATTGAAATTGAAACCATTACACCATTTCTAAATATAAACACTTTCTCACAGACATGCACGCACTATTCATTCAATTCTTCAACCAACCAGTCCACGCAATCGCAATCTCCTACCCTACTTTCCTTGTTTGAAGTTTGAAGTTAGAGAACAGCTGATCATCAGCTGAGCAAATTGTTCTTATCCTGCTCTTTTCCTATGGTTTGTTTAATGATTTGCGCAGACTGGTTTGTTAATCATGAGGTTTTTTTTATTCACTACTTATTACATATTAATATCTTTTATACCGAGTGTTTGTAAAAACCTATTTTGATAAACATTGATTTTAAAATATGCTAATTAGAAGAAAACAGTAGATTAACGTTTTCTTTTTTATTAACTACATTTTACATAAGATAATTACTTAATTGTTTAATAGCCAACAACATTAAGTCAATTTAGTCGTTAAAGACGCACCCGTTTCCACATGAAATACACATTTGAGAATTCAGATTTTACAACAGGATTATAATTCTTTTTGCACTTTTGTAAATTATATAGTAAAAGCATTTTGTCGTCATCAGCGCACTCAAACATTTCCAATATGAATATTGTAATATTTTTACTCATTGGTCAAATATCGTGTTCTCTTACCCTATTCATAGCTTTCAGCTTTGGGTAAATATATCTAAATGTCGACTTAAAGGTTGTCTAGTAAGTTCAAATTAAAATACAGCTAATTTAAATATTGTTTGTTTATTCCTAAGCACCGCGGGAGACCGAGCCGTTGGCTCGGTGCAGTGTGTAGTTTATTTCGATTCTATTCAATTAGTTTATTAATGGCATAAACCAAAATACAATGCCATAGATAAAACATACCCAGTAGATTCATGGACTAGCCAACAAAAGTAGACTTCCCATCCCATTGTAAATTTTGATGTACGTTTTTCGTGTCTAGTTCATGTCCGGTGACACTGATGGTGGCTATTGACGATGAAATGTTGTTTATATTATTTTAGAGTTAATTTCATGATTTGTGCTTTACTGTTTGGTTATATAACTAGCGGATGAGTTATTGTTTATGATTATATCGTTTTATTTGGTTAAACGGGGTTTTAAAAGACTCTGGAATAACAAGAAACAAATTGTAAACAAAACACGACATCTACAGTACACCGCACAGAACTATAACGATAAAATTGGCTCCAGCTGTTTCATAAGGATGAGAAATCTACTAAGGGAGTATGTTTTATCCATGGTAGATTTCTCGTCCTTAGAACAGCTGGAGCCAATTTTATTGTTACAGAGTAGTTCCGTCCGGTGCACTTAAAAGTCGTGTTTTGTTTTTACAGGTTTTTTTCAACGTTGTTTGAACCCAGAGAAGGTTTTTTTGTTTTTTTTTTTCAGTAATTTAAAACCGCGTTTGACCTAATAAAACGATCTAATCATAAACAATAACTCGTCCCCTAGTTTCACAAATCATTAAATTAACCCTGAGACAATAGAAACAAAATTTCATCTACACTGGCAGCAACCACATGTCTGACAGTCACCAGACATGAACTAGCTATAGGAAAAACGAGCTTCAAAATTTAAAATGGGATGAGATGTCTACTTTGTGTTGCTTAGTCTATGACTATATAAAGACTTAAATGAATATAATCATTCAACAATAAAATTATTGACAAGAAAGATTTCTATTGTAAAAGCAATATAAAGGAAATTCACGATTTATTTTAAACTGATAGATTTTGGCTTTTATTAAGTTTTCAGTGGAAGTTCAATTTACTATGATAGAAATTTTTAGCCTATTAATTAGCCTGGAACTGAAAAATTGGACCTATGGCAGCGGGAACCAGGAAGTCATTATTTTATGCGATATTTTACAAAATACAATATTTTACACCATACTATTCTATAAGCTAACTTAACAATAAATCATAACAACTAAACAAAAATATTTACAACATTTGAAGAAAATCGTTGAAGCCGCTTTAAAGCCACTCAAACAGGTTTTGTTTCAGAATGTAATAACCTGAACATTATATTTAAAGGTCCAACGAGAGTAACACCTGATTGTATAACTCAGCTTGACTATTTTATTATTGACTCGTGTGTTGCACATATGTTTCGTGCCCCCAGTGCCAAACCTGTTTTTTTTCTGACCACCATTTGTTATCAGTACACTTGTTGTGTGAACGTTTTGGAGAGGGAAATGTAAATAAGACAGTGAAGAGGAAATTTACAGCCTCGACTTTTGAAGCCTTCAAAATTTTATCTAGCAATGAAGCTTGGATGCCAGAACCTAATTTAAGAAATATTACCTCTAATGATTTATTTGACCATTTCTACGATTCGTTCATGTATGTTTTTAATGTAAGTTTCCCTGTGTCTACTTCAAATACAAAGAATGATCATAGCCCTTCTTGGGTCAGTCATGAGGTATCGCAGTCGCATGAAGCACTCTTGGACCTGTACTGGAATACTAGGTCGCCTCACTGTTCTGTCAATGGAAAAAATGCCTATCGCGCAGCTAAACGTCACCACTCTGCACTTGTTAACAAAACAAAAAAGGCCTTTTTTGGTAACAAAATATTAAATTCCAAAAACACAAGCAAGGAATCTTGGGCAGTGGTCCGTACACTGTGCGATGAAAAGTATCAGACCCAATCAAACCTGATTCTTATGATCGATGACGTGGAAGTCAAAAATCCTCAGACAATAGTAGACTATTTCTGTAAATCTTTTCACCAGGAAATATGTACGTTGGCTAAAGATAATGTAGCCCCTGTGTTGCCCACTGATCTCGAAGCGAGTCGCTTTGTACTGTCTCCTACTTCTGCGTCTGAGGTTCGTGAAGTCGTCTTATTAATAGGATCAAAAAAAAGTTCTGGCATTGATGAAGTCCCATGCAGCCTTCTCAAACTTTGCAATGAAAACATCTTTGAAGCATTGGCCTGCGCTATTAACAAGTCGTTTGAAACTGGTTGCTTTCCTGATTCGTTGAAAACTTCAAAGGTTGTCCCTGTATTTAAGAAAAATGATCCTCTTAACGCAAGTAACTACCGGCCTATTTCTGTCCAGCCTTGTTTTGGTAAAATCTTTGAGATTATTTTTCTTAAAAGATTGCTAAGTTTTATTGAAACAAATAACATCTTGTCAAATAACCAATTTGGGTTCAGAAAAAAACATGTCTACCTGTGATGCCATTTTTGCCCTTTTAAAGGAAGTATATAACCACCTTGACATATCTGACAGCTTACTATGTCTCTTTTACGACATGACAAAGGCTTTTGATCTTCTTGACCACAGGATCCTTCTGGATAAGCTGCGAATGCTTGGCATTTCTGGAAACCCACTGCGATGGATTTCATCGTATCTTAAAGATCGGCACATGATTGTATCCTTGAAGCACAGAGGCCCTGACAACATCCTTCGGACATATAAATCGTCTCCATCACCAGCTCTGAACATCGGTGTCCCCCAGGGATCAAACCTTGGGCCCATCCTATTCCTGTTATACGTGAATGACTTGCCTGGCTCCATATCATCTGGAAATTTATGGCTTTTTGCCGATGACGCCTGTCACCTAGTCCCAAGCCCAAATCGGAACATCACGATTGAAAACGCCCAAACTGGCTTGCTTGAAATGTCAACTTGGTGTAGCAAAAATCATCTGGTCCTTAATTCTAGTAAAACTAAATTAATGGAATTTTATAACAGGAAGAAGCCTGAACCACCTCCGATATTGACCTTGGACGGGGTGTTACTTGAAACCTGTAGTGAAACCAAATACTTGGGCCTACACATTACGGAGAACCTTAATTGGGGAACACATGTCGATGCAATAGCGCCCAGACTGTCATCTGTCACCTACCTGCTGTTTAGACTTCAAAAGCTGGTTGACATCGAGATTCTCCTTAAGGTTTATTATGGCTGTTTTTATAGCATAATCTCATATGGTTTGGTATTTTGGGGTGGTTGTAGTGAGGCAAAACGCATCTTCATCCTTCAAAAGCGTGCAATTAGAAGAATATGTGGAGTCCATAGACGGACACACTGTAAACCTTTGTTCCAAGAACTGAACATCCTCACACTTCCGTCCCTCTTTATATTGGAATCCGCATTGCTTGTTAAGAAGAACCCCAATATTTTTGTAACAAACAGCATGGTCCACAATTACAATACAAGAAGAGCAACAAATCCACATGTACCTCAAGTAAATTCCACCCTTGCAAGCAAGAGCCCTTACTTCAATAGTATAAAAATTTTCAATAAATTGCCTCAGTACATCACACAAGAGCCCTCTGTCAACAAATTCAAGAACCTGCTAAAAACATTCTTAAGTCAAGTGGCCTACTACAGTGTTGATGAGATATATGTCTAGGCCATGTACAATCTTGAAGAGGAAATGAATCCATCTATATAAATAAATATGAAGAAATGTATACAAACCTGACGACCACGTCGCTGATGCGATACCAGTGGGAATTCTCCAAGTATCCAAGTAAGTATCCAAGTAACAATATCTGGCATATATCTGTCGAGGAATACATGCAACATTTCTACTTTTGAATGCCTCTAATATTTTGATGCACGATTTTTAAACGGCTCCTAAGCAAGCTTTCCACGTCTTCCTAGGGCCCATAATTATTATGGATTATATTGATTATCATACAGTCAACTTTGCATGACATAGTTATACATATATATATATATATATATATATATATACATGTATATATATACAACTGCTGACACATAATCATTGGTAACGTCACGATTATTATTTTAGACAGTTTTTTAATCGTGCTTCACTCAGCTAGAAAATACAGTAAACGGAGATGCTGATTGGCTCGGTAAACGCCAAACGGTAGTGTCTGCATGCGCCGCCAGAGTTCTTCTGTCTGTTTTGTTTTTCTCATTTCAGTTTTCAACAGTTTGTAGTTTGTTCTTCCAACAACAGTTCGTCTGTCGCAAGTTTGTCAAACGAGGTTCGTGTCCGCGTATGCTTGTTTCTGTCGAGTTTTGATAAATCTGGTTTGTGTTGGTATGAAGTTAAGTTGTGCCTGTGAATCTTGATTAGCTACGCACATGTCTGTGTGAAATATCAAAGTGGTAGTTTGTTTTTGTACTTCGACGAACGAGGTAATGTGGGTGACAGTGCTTTGTTGTGCCGTTTCAGTGTAAACATGGGGAGTACTCAGAGTTCGAAAGTTGAAAATCCTCCTCTTCCAGTTGAGTACCCAAGAACTAACAATGTTAGGGCCAGCATACGATCGGCAAGAGTGCCAATGCCAGACCAGAATGAACTTGAGAGAAGGTTCAACAAAGTTTTGGTAAGCAATGGAATATTATCCTAACCGTAATATACTGTAAGTTAACTTAGTTATTTATTTGGCAGAAGATACGCGTGGATTAGGCGTCCGTGGATTAGGCGTCCGGCAGTTACTGTCATAACCTAACCTAGAACTAACCAAACTTGCTGATATTAAAAAAATCGAATGAAGGTTAAATTCTGTTCATAAAATGAAATTATAAATGCCTCACGTTCTATCAAAAGATGTACAGTTAAGAAGAAATGGCATTCTGAGCAAAATCGTTGACAAAATGTTAGTGTTGCCGATAGGATTTGATCTAGATAGGCCTACTTAGGCCTACCTCCTGTACATCAGCCGAGTACTCTATACTACACCAAGAACACCGATGGCTGTACATTGTATCGGTTGTGGTACTGGTAATGGTGTTCCAGGGCCCACAACCCGCTGACGGCACTGCCGGACGCCTAATCCACGTTCTGTCACCAGACGCTTATCCTCTGCGTGTTTATTTTTGTTTCATCGGTGTAAGCAGCTTAAAAATGAATTAAACATTTTAAGATAAGTTTAAAAAGCACGATGTCTATCTAACTTGGTTTCAAAAGCTGTTAGTGTGTTTGGCAACTGAAATACACTCTTTCAGAACATGAAACATAAGTAAACTTGTAGACTTACTGATAAAAGTTACTAAACTTTCAGGTACAATACCGGTAAACTTACTCAGTTCACAAAATTTAACTTGTGGTTTTAGGGAATACCCCCTCCACGTCTTGATTCTACCATTAAGGCATTGCTCAACAACTGAGATTTGTCAAAACGTCAATCAGCTGAACCTTAGATCAACACAAAAAAGTGGTGGGAGAACTTTCTCTCAAACCGCCTATATTTTTAGAACGGACAATAAGTTAATACAGAAAACAACAGTAGAGTGATTTAATGATCTGGATGACTGGGATTGTTCCGGGTTTTGTCACAATACACTTAGATTTGTCTCGGAAGAATATTTTTCCTGTGACACTAAAAAAGATTCCAGTAACTTTATAGGCTAGTCTATTAGCCTAACTTGGCCGTGAGGGGGGGGGGAGGCAGAGAGAGACAATAATAGCCTATAGTGCCCCGGATTTTCTCCAAAATGATTTTAACACAAGTGAGAAAAAGACAATGCTCATTAGTTTTTACATCTCATTATTTGTGATCAACACCTTTGTAACTGTTCCTAACTTGATACCTATGCACTAATTTAAGTTTTAAAAAGCTTTTCAAACAAAGCCTATGAGGTAAAGCCTGTTAACTTAAGAAGTAGGTTACGTACACTAGAAATTTGGCTTGTCAATTTAATATGAATATAAGCTGTATCGTCAGCTGAATTGACCATGTGTATGCTACGGTTTTTTTCAAACGATGTGATGTGCGATGTGCGGCGATATGTGTTTGAACGATAGGCCTATTTTAGATGGATCCAGTCTTGAAATGAGAAGCCAAATTGAACAAGTGTAGGTCTAGGTTTAGTAGACTTTTAGAGTTTGTCAAAATTGTGCCCTCATTGAGTTTGTATCTTGCTACAACTTAGGCCAATTGTTTTAGGTAACCTAATAATGTTTTGAGTCTGATTATTACTTGAAGAAACAACTAGTCAGCCACTATAAATTATTAAGGATCCAAGCCTTTCTCTTTTTTAAGCCTACCCAATTGTAAAACCTTTACAGTAACTTAACTCTAGAAGTAGGCCCTAAGTTATGTCATGCCTCATCCCGATCTTATTTTACAATATTTTTCATAGTGATTGTAAATAATTGTCCAAGACTCTGTTTTAACAATAACTTAATAGCCTACTGTACACTTTTGAATTTTTCACACTTTCTGTAATTTAAGATCGTTTTTAGACCCAGATGTCACTTGTCAGTGGATATCAGTCATAAGGTCGACATTAGCTTACATTGTAACTACAGAGTCTGGACTGTTCCCTTAGGCCTACAGTAGGTGGCACGGTAAGACCTAGACCCGGGACCGATTTACTTTTTCATTTTGGTGTCCCCAGAGCCAAAAAACACTATTCTTTCAAATTTTCATGTAGGCCTACGTATATTATGCATGCGTGAACACGATTAACTCGAGTAATTTTGGCTCGATTTGGTTTAAATTTGGCTTGAAGGTGTATGGCGGGATGAACTTAAAAAGTTCTATCATAAACTAACAAGATTGGGCCATGAGAATAAAGTACTTTGTGGTTTTTAAAAAATTAAAAAAAAAGTTGAGGTTCCTTTACATTCAATTTTCCCGTAAAATATGAAAATGCCCATATTACAGCCATCGTGCAGAGTGTAATAAACGAATAAGGTACATTCCTGTAAAATTGATGTGTTGTACTAGGTAACGGAGAATTCCAAAAAAGTGTATCGGTAGCCTATATATTTTAATTCCTATGTTATTCTAATGGAGAAAAAGAAAACTGTTGTTAAATTTTCTTGTTTGGATGTGTTATTTAAATTTGAAAAATGTATTCATTTTTATGCTATAGGCATTAACGTTTGGTCAACTTTTTTTACCTTCCCCATGGCCGCAAACCTAAGCACTCTTGTAACCTGTTTAAATGGGGAATAACAACTAGCCCATGTCTTGTTTATGGAAATATTTTAGTCAAAATCCAATCAGAAAAATTGAAATTCGCTTAGTATGCAGGTTTGCTGCGATTGACATATTTGTTACCAAAATTTGATTTGTTCATGGGCGGGGGGATGAAAACAATGTCAAATGCTATCCATAATGATGAACATACTTTGCTGCCAATGTTAAAACGTTGTAAATGCTTAATGTCGTCTTTTCACCGGGGCATGAAAGACATTAAATTGTGCAGCCTATGTTGGGACTAGAGGACATCTATTGGGCGCCCAGTGCACGATGTGGCAACAGCGCTCCGTCATCGTTCGTTCATCGTGCCCCCGGCATGGCAATCACCGCCCGGCATAACACCACATAACATCACACCCTGTAGCGTCCACGCCTACAATCGACACCTAGTGCACAATTTGTATTCAAGGGAAACTGTGCTCGAACTTGTGTGCTCGACTGCGATCATTAAGTAGGGCCTACAAAACATAAACATAACGGAAATGTTAAGAGAAATTTATATGTGTGGCATATGCCTATGTGGGTTATAAAACCCATAAATTTATTAGCAAAGGTTTCTTTTCGGTTGTACACCTATCCCTGATAAAGTTACCGTTGTATGCCCCATAAAATGATGATTCACTTTCCAATCATTACTTCTCCAAATAATAATTTTACAATCAGGTTTGGACGATTATGTCGTCTGCAATGGTAATTTGTAAACAAATTAGCTGGAGACCAGAAACACGATTGAAGTATGGATTCAATATTCTTCGGGGGTATTCACCTCCGTGGTAGTGTGGTAAGGTCATTCAAGTTTAAAAACTGAAAGTTCATCGTATTTTTGATGATTTTAAAATTTTGGCTAAGAGAAAATTGCACTGATATTGAATCGAAATTTCGTGTTAAATAAAAAATACGTTAACCATAGACTTTGGATAGGCCTAGGTACTGTACTGGACGAGAAGTAAGTTCCTAAAAACTCCGAATTGATCTGTCATTTTGTTCAATTGGGGTATTTTAACACGCGTTTGAGCGTCGTAGGGATGGCCAAGTTATGGGGTCGTTCAATATCATAGCTAATAATTGTTATAATAAATAATGAAATACATTTCTATCAAGATTTCGTTGCACAGAGTTTAGAAAACCATCCAAATATCGTTTTAAGAGTACTCAAATCCTAAAACCCCCAACATGTGGTCTTCCTCGGAATCGTTCTGTGTCAGATGTTCCATGTAAAAACTCGTGCATATTGTTGGCGAGAGTAAGAAGAAGGTGCATGTGGGAGTGCCGGCAGATGGCGTTGCAGCCGGATGTACTCTTGTACGCACGCGCGCCCACCAGCTAAATGTCAGGTTTAATGCTAGCTTGACATTACGAAAATTAAATGGGATGAGTCTGACGGATTCGTTAAAGCCCTTGTGGTAAACTGATCAGGTTTCCGCTCCGATGTCTTTTCGGTGCCTTTGATGTGGGGGCTGTGGATATTTTCATCAGCTGTCAAGCTTATTATTGACATCTCGATCGATGATTGTATTTTCTGAACACTGAATCAAAAAAAATCCACCACTCTCAACGTACTTCAAGCTTTAGCAATCGTGATTTGCTTTTGTCGTGCATTTATAAAAAAAGTGGTAAGAAATGTAAATACAGATAACGTTGGAACTATGTTGCCATCCTCTTATAAGAGCTGATAACAATGATTGTGGATTTTGAGTATGGAGGTTCTAAATTTGAGATGAACATTGAATTTGGTTCATTATTTTGGACCATTGTCGTTAGAAGTTTTGTTTTGGAAACAAACATTCCCTGGAGCAATCATTCATGTTTTGTCATTCGTTGTTTTTACCTGTATTCCATATCATGTTACATTGTAGCCCTATGTGTGGCCCTTCCCAAAGGGTTAATTCACCATAACAAATACAAATCGTCCTTTTGTGCAATACATAGCTGAGATTTTTCAGGAAGATTTTAACTGTTACTTTCACCATAAGGATAACTATCAAGTTGATATAGGAATAGTATTTCCAGTTAGTAGGCTACCGTAGAAAGGGTTTCAAAAATATTTGGACAAACGAACACGTAGTTATTGCACCCGAGGAGGGTTTTTACTCATTGTCACTCAATAGTTAATTTTAAAGCTATAAAACCCTCGCACCCTCTTAGTTTCCAAATCGTCCCCTTCCTGAACGACTGTCATAAAACCTGTAGTAAGTGTCATGTAGGGGATGGGCCAAGGGTGACACTGCAGGAGGTTAGGTCGTGATTTATTTTCTACGTACGACCACACACGTTTAGATGTGCAAGATAAGTTGGACAAGTTTTATCTATGACAATAGTTTCTTGTTAACTGGACGACCTACGTTTCACGTAAAAATACGTAGTTCGCTTGAGTGTTTTTTGACATAGGCCTA